AAAAAAAAAAAGGCAGAAGCAGCAAAGCAATCAGTAATAAAAGTTATTATAACAGCAGTCACAAGAAGGACAACAAAGTCCATAAAAGAGGAAAAAACTTCAAGAAAGAGAGAAGGTCTGCAATCACCCGCAGTGGTTTTCTCCCTGAAATGTCCGAGTTGTTTATGAGTTTCAACTTTCTATGTAATTCTGACGTGAAAAATAAGGGGAAGGAAGGGGTAGGGAGGAGCGGGGGGAAGAAAAAAAGGAGCAAGGGGACGGGAGACTGGCACTCCAACTGAAAAAGAATGAAACACCTCACATGAGATACGCTGTGCCCGGTTCTCAGCACGTGAAACTCCCCACGAATAGATGGTGCCTGTGTTATTTAAAAAAAAAAAAAAAAAAAAAAAAAAGAGGTACTCCAGGTCGCAAAATCCACAACGTTCTCTGAATTCACAACTGCCCACACTCATTCATGCACCGCCGATCTGACCTCACTCTAACTAAAGGTACCTATAAATAAATAAATAAATAAACAAATAAATAAACAAATTAATTAATTAATAATAATAATAATAATAATTAAGGTACCTATAGCTTGTCCGTAGGTAAATGTTGTCAAGGGCTCATTCAGGGAAGGAGTCCACTGTAATCAGTGTAATGTCAGAAATGTAAGGCCAATTTCTGCCAAGTTGCTTATATATCGTCACAAACAGATAGTTGCACTTTCTGGCTACCGGAGTACTGCAGTGCTAGCAATCTCGCCACAAAACATAGAGGTGGTTCTAAACATAATTAAATGTGAAGATAATAACAATGGATGGATGGATTCGCTGTGCCATTTCGTACCCCTTCGAGAGAGAGACCAGGTAAGCCGGTGATCTACCTTTGTAATGAGAACTTTCAGAGGGCAATTCTATTTCTCTTCACAGTGGAGAGGTGCTGTCCTCTCTTTTCCCCTCTGTGTTGTGGAGAGCGCGGGAGGGTAGTTTCGAGGACTCCCTCCTCTACTCCTTTAGGATTTTTATCATTTTTTAGATTTTCTCAGAACCTTAGTTTTCTAGGAATTCTGTGGAATCTTTCATCAATGGACACATGGTTTTCTCAGGGTTGTCCTTAGGCGGCTGTCCCATGCGGGGGGGGGTTGGGATGAAGGTCGGGGGAACCACCGTTCTGCGGGGACAGGCTTTTGGTGGGAACTGCTTGTGCTTGAGGGAGTGGTGGTTCACCAGGGGGCTTAGATATACAAGATATACAGATATACACTAGGAGTGCTTGAGGGAACTGCTTGTGCTTGAGGGAGTGGTGGTTCACTGGGAGTCTATTCCAAAACCCTAAACCCCCAAAACAGAAGTTTTGATCAATCGAGCAAGTTGACAAAGCACGCAGTAGATTATTTTGTTATGCAAAATATTTTTTCTAATAAAAAAAATTGATTGAAACTTTATCCGGATTCAGCATTAATGAGTTTCGTAACTTTCGTTTGATCCGGCTTCAGCTTTAATCGGCTTTGTTTGTCAAAATATAAAAGAGAGTTATGTTAGCCTGAGTCAGCCATTACAACACTTAGAAGTTGACCAGGTAGAATGGTCCTGGAGGGGGGGGGGGGAAGGGAAAAAAAAAAAAAAAGAAGTTAAAAAAACTTAAAAAAGACTTTAAAAGAGAGAAAAAAAAACGAAAGGTCCTGGAGCACCCCGAGCAGCACGCTGAGCCGCTTCACAACTGTGGAATGCAAGCACAAACTAACAGAATACACTCCCAAGCTCGGATACAGACTATGGTCTCGAGTCCCAACCAATGTACATCCTAACCGTGACAGAGAAGAGATGGGAGAAGTACGAACCGTCACTCAGCAATACTAACGCAAAAAACCGCCCTGGGACTCTATATTCTGCACATCTCCCGTCAAATTGCCCACCCTATTATGGCTTATCAGTGTTATCATCCTTAGAGCAGTAACAGTCAATCATCTTTGGCTCTCGCAAAGAAGGACACTCTATATTCTGCACATGTCCTGTCAAATTGGCCAGCCTATTATGGCTTAACACTGTTAGCACCTTAGGAGCAGTACCAGTCAATCTTTGGGTATCGCAAAGAAGGAGAAAAGAAAACATGGTGTGCAAAGTGTGCGTAAATCACAGTCCAAGGAATCGCTAAACTACTCACTGCTTTAAAGAATGTGAACTACCATAAACAGCTATGGCAGAATATAGAGCTAACCTGGACCAAGCACACCAACAAACCACTCCAGATCAACCCAGGCACCTCTTATTCCTCGAAATGGATCAATCAACGCCTCCCCCCCCCCCCTCCTCAAAGGTTTCGATCGCTTCCTTCTACTCCCTCATTAGAAAAAGATCCCTATGGACTCTCTGGAAAAAGGAGATGTGAATATACCTTCGACGACCACGTCGCAAACTCAGAAAAACCACTCATCATCATCATAAAACAAATAATGGAAACAGAAATCCGCGCCCTGTGGAAAAGAACTAAGACACAGATCCAAGACGCACCTGATTTTTATTTTTATTTTTTTTTTTCAAAAACTGAACTATCCTGAAGATTCAACACTCTGAAATTTTCAAATTACTAAATTAGCAACTGGGAAACTTGGCAAAACAAAAGGAGAAAAACTGACCTTAAACGACCAGTACATCCAAAAAAGCAGATTGAGCCTCTCCTAAAAATTTGCAGGCCATGGACCGTCGATAAAGTGAATCGGCGGTTCATGGCCTCCTATATTTTAGGAGAGGCTCAATCTGCATTTTCGGATGTACTGGTGGTTTAAAAGATTGGCTAATCCAGCCGATACACAACTGTACAATAAAAAACTGAGCGCCCAGTCACCAAGTAGACAGAATGATGCTCTACAAACTCACTCTACAGGTAAACCCGAAGAGAAGATAGGACGGAAGAAACAATCTGACCTGCGCTTAAAGGACACCCGAAGTTTGTTGCCTTTCAGAACACAATAATAAACCCAGCCAACCAGTCGACGACAAACTGGACTGTCGCCTACTCTCATCATTCGGAAAACCCAGCACACCATAGGTCGGTACGCTCCGATCTACGGACTTGCCCAAAGTTCATCTGTGTGCTGGCATGCAGCAGCCCACAGCCCTCCCCCCACGGGAAATCCGCGTTAAGGGGTAGGACAAAACAACAAACAAGCTGAAAAACAAAGGACAAAAGCCCAGAGCAATCTCTTCGTAGAGACAGTGAGCCACAGCTATGCAATGAATCACCGTTTTCTGTTTCATAGATGCACAGACATTCATCATTGTGGTGATCAAAGGCATGTACTCAATGAAACCCTGTGGTCAAAATATAGCAATATACATGGTTGAAGAAGATTGAAAAACTGTAAGAAAAGATATGGAGCAGAGGCACTTCGAAAAATCAAAACCTGGCAAGGACGATTTTGGAAAGTGCAGATGTAATTGCTTCATACAGAGCACAGTACATGGTGTGTTGGACTGCCTGATAATAATGTCTATCATTGACCGTCCTAGCAAACAGTCCCTTCTTTGAAACTCACCATATCTGTGACAGTTCGTTCCATAAACATCTCTGTCTCAGAATCCTCGATGGCGATGATTCTTAAGACACTCATTAGCTTTGATGGTATGCGTGGCTTTGGCCCGATCATGTGCAAAAGGCCCAGCCCATAGTCGCGCAGCAAAACTTCGCGCAGGCCTGTAAGTCGGTCCTCAGGAAGAGCTAGTTCTGAGACACATGAACACAGATCCATTATCAGAAACCATTGTTTCAAACCCTCTCTCCACACATTCTCTCCACATGTTCTCTGAAGACCCTCGCCAATTTGAGCACTTAACCCTCATTCCTTCAGCATCTCCTCCCCTTCCCTCCGTTTAAGCCAGCATCTTCCGTCTTGTCTCTTTCATGAAACAATTGCCCTCATGGTATTTCCCTGCTGCTTGATCAACTTTCTTCTACTTCTCTCCACTAAAGGTGGAAACATTACTTTCGTCCAGAAAGATTACATATACGTACATGTGTTGCTTAGCTGATAAAAATGCAACTTGCCTGTATACTGTACAAACTTCTTCCAATGGTTATGTGTTCACAGAGTCCTTCCATTTGATAAAAGCCAACTGTTGAATATAGTATATTGTCATGCGGACTCATGCCCTAATTGACAGTCGGTAGAAGGGGCGTCATTAGTGTTCTGCTGGAATGTTTGGTCGGATTGTCTCTGTTTCCCTTTACGAAGTGGCAGAGTTTGTTGAAAATCCAAAAGAGGCCTGCCATGTTGGTTGGAGAAATAAAAGGTGCAAGTTCTCTGATATGGTTCAGGGCTAGTGGGATCCAGTGCAGATTGTCCTGGAGGGCTAATCTTATGACCCATTTAATTTGTAAAGCCTGAATTTGGCGGGTTGGGCCTATAAGACCTAAGCCCCCTTTGCTTTTTGGGCTGGTGACTATCTGCCAGGCCACCTTGTGGATAAAGTGTTGCTTGTCCGGATTACCTGTCCATAGGAATGCAGCTGCTTTTTTCCTCAACTGACTTTGGAAATCAGTAGCTGGGAAACAGATGGAGGTAGAATACCACATCATTGCTAGGATTGAGTTATTGAGTGCCAGTACCCTGCCTAGTAGGGAAGTGTGTGTGGATTTCTCGGTTTGCATCCTATTAACCATTGAAGACAAGAGTGTCGCTGCCGATATTTGGTGACATCCTTTGAGATTAAGGTTGATGCCCAGAAAACGGATTCGTGAATCTGGATCTGTCCACTGTAGTCCTGTTGGCATTAGTTCCGTGGGAGGGGGTGTTTCTGCGGTCCACCAGCCTAATGTCTTGGTCCAGTTGACTTCCATTTCTGAGGCCAGTTGGAATGCTTGCATTGCCCTTATCAGGGCTTGGAAGGAGGAGTTTGATGCCCTGATCAGTATTGTAAGATCATCTGCGAATAGGACGGTGGTGGGGATGTGGAGGAGTTTACCTCGTTCATCTGTGATGTTTTCTATTCTTTCGATGGATCTATCCTTTCTCAAGAAGGTGGCGATGACCTCCATGACGAAAAGGAAGATCAGTGCTGCTAATGGGTCCCGTTGTCTTACTGACCTTGTCATTGGGTAGGGTTCGAGAGAAAGCTGTTGACTTGAACTATCCCTTGTGCGTCGTTGTAGAGTATTCTCACCCATTCTTGGAAGACAGGGCCTACTCCCATTCTTTCCATGTTGACCTGAAGAAAGTCCCAGTTTACTTGGTCATATGCTTTTTCAAAGTTGAAGAAAAGGATGGCTGCTGCGATCCATTTTTGGTTAATTATCCTCGTGGATTCACAGAGAGACATTACATTGTCCGAGATGAGTCTTCCTGGAATGAACCCTGTCTGATCAAGGCGGAAGCATCCTCTTGTGATCTTGTTTATTTTGGTGGCTATGAGCTTGGCTAGGATCTTGTAAGCTACGTTTAGTAGTGAGATGGATTTGTAGTTTTTTTTGTCCTCTCTGTTTCCTTTTTTGTATAGGAGTGTCACCATCCTCGTACTCACGTATGGGCCTAGTGTTTCTTCCTCTCATGCTCAGGTAAGGAAACTAAGGAGGAGTGGGCCTAAGGTGTGCCAACCAGCCATCCAAAACTCCTTAGAGAGGTCGTCCCTTCCTGGGGCTTTGTTGGGTTTGAGATCATAGAGGGCTTTGAGTAATTATTCTAATGTTATGGGTTATTCTAGTGTTTTGGCCGTTTCTGATGAGAGGGATTGGTCTAGGTGGGTCAAGAATTTCGCTCTTGCTCTGTTTGTTGACTTGTTGCCACCTTTTGGTGTTTTGGAGGTAAAGAGGTCTTTGTAGAAGGTAGTTGCTATGTTAACTAGTTTTGTTGTTTCTATGGTTGGGTTACCGTTCTCGTCCTATATGCATTGTATTTTAGAGTTTCTGGAGTTGGCTTTGATATTCTGGAAGAAGAATTTGGACATTTTTTTTTTCTTCCCAAGTGTTTTACTCTGGCTCTTTAGTCCATTCGGCAAACTCTTCCGTAGATTTAATAAGTAGTTCAGCATATTATTTTGAGTGTGAATGTTTCTGTAGATTCAATTCTGCTATATCTATCGTGTTTCTTTGGGTCTCCTCTCTTTCTTTTCTGTATGAGGCTAGTCTTCTGGATATTTGTGTTGTTTTAGTGCTAATATTTTTGATGATTTGGGGGAATTTTGTGTGTATGTCCTCGTGGGGTCATAGTTGTGATTGTGAGGTTAGTAGTGTTTGTAACACAGCTTGGAAGGCTTGGCTGGTGAGGAGGGCGGTATTAAAGTGATAGAAGCTCTTACCTATGCAACCCTCTTTGGCGAGTCTGATGGCTAAGGATATGGGTTTGTGGTCTAATCCCTTATGATATGGGTTGTCGTGTTTGATACAGTCTTGTACAGTCTCTGATAGTGAGTCTGATGTGAGGAAGAAGTCTTTTCTGGAAAAGGATATCCTCCCCTGTAGGGTTTTCTTGATGCAGGAGTACCTCTTATTTTCTGGGTATAGGAGGCGATAAGGGTCCAATAGGTTTTTCCTGGTCATAAAGTCATTGAGGTTAGCGTTGTTAGATTGAGATGTGGGATCTTAAGAGTGTGAAATTTTGTCTAGATTAGGGTTTTGCGCTGAGTTCCAATCTCCCATGATGATGGTGGGTGTGGGTGCGTGGATGTGTTGTTCGATCATGAGTAGGAAGCGGGGTTTGTCTTGTCGAGCGTTCGGGCCGTAAATCCCTATGACAGACATCTCTTCTTCAAATTTGATGTCCACCTTAATCCATTTACCTGAAGTGTTGTGTTGGTTGACATTTTGAATTTTTATTGCTTCGCTGGCTGTTGATTTCTGATGGAGGAGGATGCCAATCCCTGCTGAGCCGTTGTCTGCAACTTTGGCCCAAAAGGCCGCTTTGACGTAGGTGAATTTCCTAATGATGGCTAATTGTAGTTTGTTGTGATCACTACTATTGGTTAGGTGTGTTTCTTGGAGGCATGTTATGTCTGGGGGGTTAGGGCCAAACCAACCTATGGTTTAAGTGAGATTCCTCCATTTGATTGGGTTATCTAAAATGGAGGCCTGACCATTGATGTTCGATAACTCGCAAGTTATTTCAGGTTGTTTTATGATATCCTTAAGGATGTCAACTTCTGTGGTGGGTCTGAATCTTTTTGCGTTGTTGTTTGTCCCACTTTCAGTTTGGCCGTTAGAATGTTCTTCCATTACTAAATGGAACGGTTAAACCTGATGTGGTGATACTTGGCTCAGGTAGAGGGGTGGGAGGTCTTCTTCCCTATCTCCTCCTTCTCTATCTTCTTCTCATCCTTCTTCTCCTTGTCCTTCTTCAACTTCTCCAGAGTCTCCTCCTCATCTTTGTTCAACTATTCCCCTCTCATGAAGGTCGCTGTGTTGAAGGCAATTTTGTCGACTTCGTCCTTCTGACCCAACAGTGAGTAGGGTATCTCGCAGATCATCTCCCAAGATTTCCATGGCAGGCCCTCCCTTAGTTGAGCCTGCTGATCATAAAGGACAAGAACTGGTCTTAGGTCGTTGTACTATCTTTCCCCACTGTCGTCTTCCCAGAACACGTCCAGACTGTCGTGCTCTATCACTTTCATGGCCAGGGGTCGATCATCTGAGATGTTTGTCCTTGCAAAGTTGGGACGTTTGTGTAAGTTTTGTGTTGTGATAATGCCCAGTGAGGACCGGACTGCGATCTGCCATTCCTTTTTGTCTGAGTTGTAGCGGAAAGGCAAGAAAGGGATCGTGGGGGAGAGGGTGCGTGCATCTGGCTGCCACTGTCAAATCCTGTGGTTTTTGGTCTGCGATTTTGTTGAGGGAACGAGTCTCTTCTCCCAACTCCAGATTTTTGTCCCTACAATTAATTTGTTTGCCTCTCAAGATTGGCGATCTGCCTTCTTTTTTCCTTCTTGAGGTTGTTCTTTTGCCCGAACAAATTGTTTGCTAGGGAGATCATTTTCATTTCCTTTGTTTCTTGCTCTTTGATGTCGCTGGTCTTTGGAGGTACATCCTCGCTTGGGGCCACGATGCCCGTGTCTTCGCGCTAGTATGAGTTGGTCCACTCGTTTGGTTGCTCACTTGATTGTGGGGCTGTGTGTGAAGTTTATGTGATGGTATCAGTTTTCATTGCATCATTGTGCTGATCAACGTATTGCATGGCCAGGAATTCCGAGAAGGAGTTCTCTGCTGACAAGGGACGGTTGGGAATCCACATGTGACATTTGCGTTCAGGATGCTGATGTGTTTGGCATGTGCCAGCCTGATTTCCAAGTCCAAGTCTTTGTGTGCCTTCTTCAACGAATCTATGTATTCGTCGAGCCATTCCAGGGTGCTATCCGAGTCCTCTTCTGGCATTGTATTATGGCTGGTTGCTGCTGTTTTCGTTGGTGGTGTTATGTCCAGGTGCATTTCGCTTTCCCTGCTCTCAATTGAAATGTTGTTGTCTCTGCTTTCTTTGGTGTCCAAAGATTTGCCTTTTTCTTTGGGATCATCGTCTTCGTTCCTGTTCTTTCTTTTTGTTGGTCCTGAATCCTTGTTTTTGCCCTTGTCTGTGTTATTTGGTTCCAATTCGTTTATGGACTGTAGGATTTCGAGGTAGGATTTTTCTGCCTCTCGTCCTATGTTATGCACATCGCTGAGAATTTGCTTTTTGTGCATTGTCTGTTCCAAGCATTCAGCATTGCCCAGAGTGT